ACTCGATCTTGGGAGAAACTGGCAGATCTGGAAAACCAAAGGACGTTCCTGCTAAGATGCCGTGATGAAGGTATTTATCCAGATCATCTTCAACAACATTTTAATTGTACTTTTTCGTCTCTCACTAATTCTGGTCATGTGTATATTAATAAGATAAAAAAGACAATAGATACTTTTAACAGTAAAATACTTGCTCTGGAAATTAAAATTATAATATTTAATATAACCAACCTTAAAAAATCTGTTAGCAATCTTAAGATTTTGGCTCAAAACAAACTACCCACGAAGATAATTTATGATTTTGAAAAAACTGTTAAAACTAGATATAACCATATGTATGCAGAGTCAAAATTGAAACACATAAACAAAATTAATAAGCTAATATATAGATACAAAAACTCACAAATAAAAGATGACGTACTTTTCAATACTGATAATAATTGGATAGTAAATACAACGGATGAGATTATTCCCGAGTCTGTCATGAATATTTTAAAGTTAGGTCCGAAATTCTCTGTAAACCACCTAAAGAAAGAACTTCCTATATTTCATTTGTTAGCTGACGTAGAACATAGTATATCTAATAATCCTGAGATTGTTGACAAAGATTCTTGTAGGTCACAATGTACCAACATTATAACTAATTTTTTACATAAAAATAAAAATAACAATAAGCTCGACAATGCGCAAAAAAACTATATCACAGCAAAAATATTTCTTAAAGAACACCCAAACTTACTGGTATTACCATCGGATAAAGGTAACAATACTGCAATAATAACAAAAACAGAATACCATAATAAAATGAACGAACTATTACAAGATAACAAAACTTATTCCAAACTTACACGTGATCCAACCAACAAATATCAAACAAAAAGTAATAGTTTAGCAAAAATGCTACAAACAAAAATGTACATTGAAGATTGGGAGGCAAAAAGGCTGAAATCCTATAATAACATACCACCAAAAATTTATGGCCTTCCTAAATTACATAAAACAAATAGACCCTTAAGACCAATAGTTTCTTGTGTTAACAGTCCGGGATATAAAATTTCAAAATTTCTGCATGAAATACTAAATAAATTATCTACAAAATTCCAATATAATGTAAAAAACTCCTATGAGGTGGCTGATAAGTTGAAGAATGTAAACATACCAGACAATTACGAGCTAGTCTCTTTTGATGTTAAATCTCTTTTTACCAATATACCACAGGATTTGGTCGTCAACATAATCGATTTGCATTGGACAGAAATATCCAAACATACTAAATTAAGCAAGGAAGATTTTCACTTACTCATAAGGTTTACATTTGAAAGTAGCTATTTTGTTTATGAAGGGCAATACTACCAACAAACCTTCGGAACTCCCATGGGGGCGCCAATAAGTCCAATTTTAGCAACCATGGTAATGGACTATATTGTGTCCAAGACATTGGAAAATCTTGATTTCCAAGTCCCGTTCTTCTTTTTATATATGGACGACTCAGTCACAGCGATTCCGAAAAATAAGGTGAACATGATGTTGAACAAATTGAACTCTATAAACGACAACCTGGAATTTATTTGCGAAGTCCAAAGGGAAAATAAACTCCCATTTTTGGACCTGTTACTCATACAAAATAACAACAAAATAATTTTAAACCTATACAAAAAGCCTACTAGCTCCAATCGAATACTTAATTATCAATCAGCACACCCACTTCACCAAAAAATAAATATTATTAAACAACTTCAGAACAAAGTCTTTAGACTATCAGATAAAAGATTTTGGAAACAGAATATAGATCAACTGAAGAACACCCTATCTGCAAATAACTATCCCATAAACTTTACCAACCGTATCTTAAACCAACAACCCCGCAAAAACGCTAATGGTACCAACACACATGGCAGTTTGCAAACTATCAAAAAATACTACAAAATACCATATGTGAAAGGTCTATCTGAACCCCTCGGAAAAAAACTTGGTACACAGACCGCTGAAGTGGCAATGTACAATAAAAAAACAGTTAAAAATCTTTTTTCCCAAGTTAAACATCCCACCCCTAAAGATAACACTAGTAATGTAGTGTATAGAATACCATGCAATAACTGCAATGTATGCTATGTAGGCCAAACAAAACAATATCTGAAAAATCGCATATCAGAACACAAAAGGGATTGTAATATTACTAAGATAGATAATCCAAAAACAGGACTAGCAAGACATTACTTCGAAACTGGACACCAGTTTGACTTCCAATCATCGACTATCTTAGACAGTCACCCTAATTTTCAACAAAGACTCTTCTTAGAAATGTGCCATATAACGACTAATAAACCCAATGTAAACCTTAACATGGATACACAAAACTTAAGTACAATTTACTGCAACATCATAACCAATCAGTTATAAACCGACCATTCGATTGTTTTCAATTGGTTCTGTTCCCCAAATTAAGTTTTTTAAAGGTGAAATTTGGTGGGGTGGGAATCAACATTATCAATAATTTAGTTTTACGTACCAATGCAGATCGATATGAAAAAGTAGTACCGAAACATCACGGCAAGCAATAGTACCGCTCTTTGGTGCGTGAACTTTTTTGTTTGTTGTTATTGATGAATCGGTCCGAATGATGCGATTCATAGCTTTAATAATCTAGGTAAGGTAAACTTTGGTAAGGTATTTTGTAGATAACAATACGACGTTTTTATTAGTCAAATTAGGTAATTGGTTCTATGTTGTCTGGATTGATAGTTTTTCAAAAATATAATTTGTGAAACTCATTTTACTTATCTCTTGTTATGTAATAGTCATTGTTGAAACTTTTTAAATGTTAATTTCTTTTTTATACGTCATTTTTTAATTTATTTTTTAAACCTTTGTAAATGCTTCTTTTTTGTTAAATGTTAATTTATTTTGTCAGTCATTTTTTAAAATGTTAATCGTTGTGAAATGCTTGTAACGTTCTTTGCATGTTTTCTTTTAGCCTTGAGAATGATGCGGAATGCGTCGAAACGTTGGCTGTTGATTTAGATATTTCATTAAATAAAGTCCAAATAAGCCGAAAACCGACTTTTCATTAAAAAACCTTAAGGTTTAAAGTCAACCCCTATTTTCTGAACCTTGTATGTTCAAAAATTCCGAAAAAAATATATGTTTTATGGTTATCGATATACTTTAATCCATAATTTTTTTAAGCAAATTTGACTCGCCATTTTTGAGTTATATCGCAAAAACCGAAAAAAAAAGTAGTTTTTTACCATTTATTTCAAAACGAATAGATGAAGTTTCCCATTATTTTTATTACGAACTACTATTGCAATTCTACGCGACATATATTTTTTTCAAATTTTTTGAACTTGTAGTTTTCTCGATACTGCAAAAATAGTTGGAAATACGCCCGTAGCTACACTGTTTAGAAAAAAAAAACGACGAATGAACGTTCAATAGTATATTGTGTACTTAGGTGGAAAAGTGACACATTCTCGGCCGACGGTGTAAGTTGACGGGCGAGGCGTAGCCGAGGCCGGCAAACACCGAAGGCCGAGAATGTGCTTTTCTACCGGAATACACATACTATTTTTTCTGCGATCGGTTAAATACCTGTTAAATGTTTGTCTTTTAGTTCCAATTATGCAGCAATACGAGAATCACTTTCCCGGCCTAGGCCGGAAAAGTGTTTCCCGTATTGTTATTCATTGATTCCTTAGCAACTATTGAAACATAATTGAAATACCAGAATATTGAGTTTTGCGACCTGTCAACCGGTCAAAAATGTTGACATTTCTTGTCAATCGCAGAAAAAATTATTTGCGTTGGTCAAAACTACAACCCTGTTTATGTAAAACAGAATAATACTTCGAATTTCCGCCAAAAAAAGAAAAAACGTTCCATCACACCATTTAACCAAATGAAGATTTCTATTTTTTTTTGACAGTCAAGTTAGGGCACACTATAGGGGCGACAGCATTGACATCTCGCGTTGCTGTAATAAACTATAGGCCTGACTTTAAACCTTAAATAACAAAACCTTATAGGTATCACCTCCAAAATTGAAACCCTGGTAACGAGTATGGTATAAAGGTATAAGGCTTACTTTTCATGCATCCGTTTTTCCGTCAATATACGATGATCCGGAAGTATTCCTATTTGTCCAATATTTTGGCGCCAAAATACTGGACCAATAGGAATACTTTCGGATCATCGGAGTGACGGAAAAACGGTTGCATGAAAAGTAGGCTTAACCTGAAGCCTGAAGGTAACACACGCACACAAGACAAAAATAATTCAAGTGAATCTGATGATCCGCAAGTAACCCTATTGGTCCGATGTTTTGACGCCAAAATATTGGACCAATAATTCGCGAAAGGCCCCGAAGTAGGCGACATCTATGATCAACTTTGGTAGTCAAAACTCAGTGAACAACAAAGCAAGTTCGCATTTGGCCCCCGGCATTGTTTCTGGAAGATTTCAATTTTCTACAGAATATTATTCTTTTTATGTATTGTTTTTGTTATAATCACAAAAATGCCATAGGTGCATAGAACAGAATTTAACAAAAACTAACCTCAAAAAACTGGCTTTGTTGTTCACTGAGTTCGGCAGACATATTGCTATTTTTCGCGTAATTTAGCGCCATCTATTGGTACAGGAATTTCGCCAATACTTCCCGATCATCGGATTGACAGAAAAACGATTGCATGAAAAGTAAGCTTAACGGATCTGAAGTAAAGATTACCGAAATTAGCGTATCAAAAAGTAACGAATAGTTACGAGTACGAAGTAGGGATGCTCAGAAGTAATTGAACTTTACTGACTGTTTCCAGGTTCTAGCCGTTCCTCAGAGGAAATAGGGAATTTCTCTCACCTCCAAAAATTCCTGATGATGGAACTTTTGGAATGAATTCCATTTATTTACTTTTACTTTACTCCGTATAACCCAACGCGAACCCGAACGTGCAGAGTATCTTCTCAAGAGCACGGAGCACGGAGCGATGAAATCGCCAGGCCAGCATTTACCCACTTAACCTATTTTTTATTACGAAAATAAAAATAAGCTTGTGAAAATAAAAAAATAAACAAACATTTTTAAAACACAAACTACTTGATTAAAAAACGATAATGGTAAAAGCGGCCTTATTTGTTTGTCTAGGTAAGTGCCTTTTAATCTGAATTACTTTACAATAAATATGTAGATGAATAAAACAATGTTTATTTTCCTCCAGGCAACATTTGTCGTTCTCCAATAGCTGATGCGGTTTTCCTGAAAATTGTTACCGAAAGGGGCATAGCCGATCAATGGAAAGTAGATAGTGCCGCTATCGGAGGATGGCATTCGGGAAGCTCTCCTGATTCCAGGGCTACGAAAACATTGACAAATCATGGTATTCCGTACGATGGCCGAGCAAGACAAGTAAGCATAATAAGAAAAATATCTTCAAACAGTATTTATTTTTATCTTGTTACCTATTTATTATTTTTTAAAAGGAAGAGACTCAGGAAAAGAGCACATTGGGAATGTATGCCAAACATATTTCCTAATTCTGATAATAATAATCTTTATGCACTTCAGGGATTAAAAGTACCCTTTTAATCCCTGTTTTAAGGGAGTAAAGTGGGTCTTTTAATCCCCGGGATTAAATTTCACTTTATTTCCCGGGGATTAAATTTTTACTTTATTTACAGGGGATTAAATTTTACTTTATTTCCCTGGGATTGAAAGTAGGTACCCTTTTATTCCCTGTTTGATTTAATCCCCGGGAAATAAAGTAAAGTGCATAAAATAGTGTATACACTACAGGACTAAAGTGTTTTTTAATCTCTCGACAAATTATAAACTTTTTGTCTCGGGATTAAAAGTACCACTTTAGTCCCTAGGTGTATAATGTACTATTTTCTCGAAACGTCAGAAAAACGCGAGGGGTCAACCACTTCACGAAATACGTGTACACTTAGCCGAATTACCTTCGAAATACTTCGAAGTATCTAGAAATACCGTGAAGCACCTCGAAATACGAGGTATTCCCTTCAGAGTATGCAAAATCCCATGGAATTACCGTCGAAGTACCCGAAATACCCTCGAATTACCGCATGAAGTCCCGCAATACTTCTAAAAAAATTCTCGTTATAACGATTCTTCTTGTGGATCGCAATGAAGAATTTTTGCTCGGATTTTTGATATGATGGATTTTATTCAGAACCAAACAACAATTAAATCAATAGTTGCTGGAATAAAAATTAAACATTAAAATAAGATAAAAATAGCTGTCGGATTATCAGATATTTTCAACAAAATAAGATAAGATAATTTATTGGTAATAACATATGTATAAAACACATTTTTACAAGTCAAGACACAAGTACAGTTAGGAGTTAGGTAAATGTGAGGGTGAATGTCGGAAAATTTCTCAACATTACCCAAGTATTATATACCGGGTGCCCACGAGATTACTTTCCGGCTGCCATTTTTTTATTTGTTCATCGATATCAACGAAATTTGGTAGGGTTGATATTCTAACCAAACGCCATTTTTATGCATTTATGACAACTTTTTATGACTTCCGGTTTCACCGGAAATTACCGAAACTTTTGATTCTCAAATGGCACACCCTGTATATTTTTTGTTTATCGGATTCTACAGATCGTTTTACGTCCTAATGAACCACTTTTAAATCGAGTTTTGTCCAAATTTCGTTTTCAAATTAAATTTTAAGTAGAAAAAAAAAATTACCTACAAAAATAAGTATATGAACGAAAATTGAGAAAAATGTCGTAGTGTATTATATCGTTGGATTCGCTTTAAAATACTGTATTTAGTAATGTTATGAAAGTGATATGTTTCTATTCTACTTTTTGAGCTAGGGCAAAAATACTGAAATAATGGAGTTTACAGCCCTCTATCAAAAAAGTTTACAAATATAAAATTGAGTTTGTATTTTTCTGAAATTAAGTAAAGTATGTAGAGTCATTTTAGGATGATCATGGCACTCTAGTTAAAAAAATAAAATTTAATTTAAAAATAAAATTTGGACAAAAATCGATCTGTAGAATCCGAAAAACAAAAAATATACAGGGTGTGCCATTTAAAAATCAAAAGTTGCTGTCATTTCCGGTGAAACCGGAAGTCGGGAAAACTTGTCATAAATGCATAAAAATGGCGTTTGGTTAGAATATCAACTCTACCAAGTTTCGTTGATCTCGATAAATAAATAAAAAAATGGCAGCCGGAAAGTGATCTCGTGGGCACTTGGTATAATATATTTATACGTTCACAATTATAGATAGATAGATAGATAGATATATATTTCTCGTTCTTTCAGCATTTACAATAAATACTTAATACCTATGTGGCATAGAACTCGTCCTTACGTCTAACATTTAATAACAAAAAAACAAAAAAATAAATAATAAAACAATAAAACAGGTACATAAAACACAATACTGATTGATTGATTCCTAAAAATGATTTCTGTTTTACAATATTTGGTACAATTTCACGTCACTTTTACATTTATCATTATTATCTTATTCTACATTTCGAAATGCATCCTCATCCTCAAAAAATTCCCTAAGCGAATAATAGGCCCTAGATTCAAGAAAAATCCTTACTTTTTTTGTAATTCCTTTGTTGTCATGATTTTAAATGAATTTGGCAGAGTATTCCACACCTTAAGCATGTTGTGTGTTACATTTTTCTGTATGTATGTAAAGTTTGCCTTTTCTGTTTTAAGGTTGTTCTTAGATCTAGTGCCATATGGGTGGGTTATCTTGTTTGATTGAAAAATGTCGGGATTTTTTATGACAAAGTTTATACAGTCAAGAATGTACAGGTTGAATACTGTATGAATTTTTAGGTTCATGAAATGGTTTCTACAGCTCTCTGTTTGTTTCATCTTTAAGATTACCCTGATACATTTTTTTTGAATTTCAGTATATCTGAAGCTTCTGCCGAGTTCCCCCAAAAGATCAATCCATATTTAATTCGAGATTGCACATATGCATGATAAGAAGAGAGTGCTGCTTCAAGGTCCACATTATCTCTGATTATTCTTAGAGCATAAATATATTTTCTTATTGACTTAGATAGTCCCAGAATCTGCTCTCCCCAGCTCAAGTTGTTATCTATTGTCACGCTCAGGAATCTGACATGATCATTTGATCCGAGCTCCTCCCCTTCATACCATATACCAAACTGATCTGCTTTTTTTGGTCTAAAGTTTATTATCTGCGTTTTTTTAATGTTCATTTGAAGATTATTAGATGTAAACCAGTTTTCTAATTGTTGCAATGTTAAATTAACCTCTTTTTTCGCTTCCTCTTGGCTATTTTCACTAATTAAGATATTTTTATCATCTGCAAAAGCATAAACCTCGTTCCTTATGATATTCTCTACCTCGTTTGTGTACACAATATAAAGTAGAGGACCCAAGATCGACCCCTGCGGCACACCCCTCTTCATCAGTTCAAAGTCTGATCTGAATTTTCTCCCATCATCTGCCGTCTCTTCCACACATTGAGGTCTTTTACTCAGGTAAGATTCCAGCAGTCTTCCAGCACCCCCCCTGATCCCACACAAATCCAGCTTTTCCAATACTGTTTCGTGGTCCACACTGTCGAAAGCTTTGGATAAGTCAATGCATACTGCAACGGTTTGTTTTTTTGCATTCAAGGAAGCTAGTATTTTTTCAAGTGTTTGGTATATCGTTCTGATAGTTGATTTCCCCTTTCTAAATCCATTTTGTCTACTTGATAGAATACTGTTTTTTTCCAAAAAAGTTATTAATTGGTTATGTATGACCTTTTCAAAGATCTTACTTATATTGGATAGGAGGGAAATCGGTCTGTAATTTTTTAGATCGTTTTGTTCTCCTTTTTTGAAAATCGGTTTGACTATAGCTATTTTCAACAGTGATGGAAAAACTCCTGTAGTTAAGCACAGATTTACTATGTGGGAGAGGGGCATCGCCAAGAGATCCGCTGCCTCCTTTAACACGCATATTGGGATCTCATCGTATCCACATGATTTTTTATTTTTAAGTTTTTTAATAATTTCCATGATTTCTCGAGGGGAAACATGGTTAAGTTCTATGCTTTTTTTAATCAAAGATACATTTTTGCATGAAGATGCTTTGTTCGCATTTATATCAGGGCAAATGTTAATATAAAAGTTGTTTACTTGATTTAAGAATTGTTTTTTATCGTCATGTTCGAAGTTATTATTATTATATTTTCACTAATAGCTAACAATTGATATTACATAATCCATCTTTACACACATGTTAAAGATGGATTATGTAATATCAATTGTTAGCTATTAGTTGAAATATTGGGGCCAAATTATGGACCAACTGGTAAGTGTCTAGCAGGTACTTTTTATTCTCTAGTGCATAGAAAGTACCTGCTAGGTAACAACCAGACGTTTACCAGTCAGTCCATAATCTGGCCCTTAATCTGCACTAAATCCACATTATGTCAACATATATAGCCCTCGATTTTGCCTGTTCGAAGATGGACTATAATTTTCATTCTATAATATTTCAATTTTGGGTGATAAAGAATTAATTGTTCTCGGAGAAAAAAAATACTAATACTTAATTTTAAATAGCGCGAAATACCTCGGCTCACCACGAAATACTTCAAGTTACCCCGAAATACTTCGAATTACCTCGAAATACTTCGAATTACCTGCAAATATTTCGAAGTACCCGACAATACCACAAAAAACAAGGTTCGAATTACCACCACCGAAATACTTTGAATTTCGCGAAATACCGAAATTTTCGCAATACGTGTACACATTTTTACAGAGTGGTTGACCCCTCGGAAAAACGTCACTTTATTAACCCCTGTCAAGATTTCAGAAATTTGATTTCTATGCTGCTATGCAAATCCAGCGGGTTAACACCTGTCGAGGTGGTAGAAATTTAATTTTTATGCTGCTTGGCAACTCTAGCAGCAGCAAATGTACTTTTAGTACCGCTGGAGCAGCAGTAGAAGTACTTTTAGTGTCACTTATACTTTTACTGCCGCTCAAACATTCACTTGCCGCCAAGCTTACCCCATTCGTTTCGAAAAAAAATAGTGTGTTGCATAACGGAGTAGAAGCACTTTTTTTTAATTTTATTTTATTTTATTTTATTTATTTATTAATACAGTATCAACAGCACATGCCAATTACAGATACCGATCTTAAAACTAGTAAACAATAATTATTTGAAATTTAAAATTTACATTGTTACAATCATGAGCACTTCACATTAAATATATGAGGCTTCCTCGGAGCTCTAACAAGCAAAAACTTTTTCAAAAAACAAGATTATACTATATAATTTAACAATAAAAATAAAACAAACTTGTCTACTCCTGAGCCTGGGAAATAAAAAGTTTCTCACTTATAATTTTAGTAAATTGTCTTAAAGTAATAGTGTTTATATCTATGTCGCTAGCGTAAATATTAAAACAATTGCACATACGGTAAACTGGAGAATTCTTATACAAATTTGTCCTAGGGAAGTCCAAATAAAACATATTTCTCTGTCGGGTTGATTTATTGAAAAAGGGAGTTGAGATAGAATATGTGGGCTATTTATATTATTATTTATGAGTTTATAAATGTAAATTAGGCACATTTTTATTCGCCTATTCTCCAGGGAGAGTCTATTAAACAAATTCAAAAGTCTATTATGGTTAAATCCCTGAGGAGGGTAGAAGCCAAACCTTTTCAAAAAAACATACTTTAAGAACTTTCTCTGGACTCGTTCAATAGATTTGCACCATACCTCATATTGGGGTGACCAAATTATGCTCCCATATTCCAATCGTGGCAACACAAGACTGTCAAATAGCTTAACACATACATCAACATTAAAAAGCTTGGTAGATCTGATAATGAAACCCAATATTCTATGTGCCTCATTAATTTTTGTTACAATATGATCAGTGAAGCCCATGCAATTGTCGAACAGTACTCCCAAGTCCTTTTGAACCGAGTTGGTCACTAATACCTCTTCATTAATTGTATATTGCTTATTAATAACATTTTTCTTTAAAGAAAAAGACATAGAGGAACACTTTTTAGTATTAAGCTTAAAACCATTTATATTACACGACTCAACAACTCTATCCAAATCTGCTTGTAAACAGTCACAATCATCCAGGGTTACTATCTCCAAAAACAATTTGAAGTCATCAGCAAACAATAATGACTTAGAACTCTCTACCACCTGACACACCCCATTGATCGCTATGACAAACAAAAGAGGTCCCAAGTTTGACCCTTGAGGAACCCCAGAAGTACTTTCAAATTCATCAGAACAGCCCCCCTTAATTTCCACGTATTGTTGTCTTCCAGATAAATAAGTTATCAGATTAATCAAATTATTCGATACATTGCTTTCTTGCAGAGACTTAAGAATGACACTATGTTTTATTTTGTCAAAAGCCTTCTCCAAGTCAGTAAAGATGACATCCACTTGCGTTTTATTATTAAAGGAGTCATGCAAATACTGGGAAAAGGATACTAGGTTCGTCAATGTAGATTTTTTAGGAAGAAATCCATGTTGGGTCTCACTAAGTTCAAACTTAACCAGATCATAAATCCTGTTGAAAAGGAGTATTTCAAAAACCTTGGAAACTGCATTGATTATAGAAATAGGTCTGTAATTGACGACGTCCCGTCGACATCCACTTTTAAATATCGGGACAACCTTGCTCGTTCGCCATACCCTGGGATAAGTACAAGTTCCAAGACTAAGATTAAAAATATACATCAAAGGCTGTAGCAACAATTCACCACATCCCTTAATAATATATCCTGGCAGACCATCCGGCCCGATAGCTCTATTACCTTTTAATTTTTTAAGCGCGTCAAGGATTTCTTCCTTTGTAGAAGGGAAATCACAAAAATAATCTTTAAATGAATTACTCTCGAAGCAATCGAGAGACTCTGCAGAGGAAAAAACACTACTGAAAAACATTGCAAACGCGTCCGCAATATTCTTTGTACCAGAGAACGAGACATTATTGTAATTTACCTCAGCAGGAATATCAGAGTCATTCTTTTGTTCCTTGATATAAGACCAGAAATACCTTGGATTCTCATTCAGACTCTCTTCCACTCTCTGTAAGTATTTAGTATAGGCCAAATTAATTCTTGTTTTAATTAGGGTTCTAATATTCCTATATTTACTTTGCCAGTAAGAAGACTTAGTGGATTTGAACTTTCTATGCTTCTGCAGTATTGCAAGCCTCACTACGTTCGGCTCGCAATTCTACCGCTTCAGCACAAAAAAGTAAAGCTTCTACTCCTAATACAACAATAGGTATACTATTATTTAGCACATTGCGTTTCTAAGTTACATTTTCTATTACTTAATAATATAACAAATAATATTATTTTTATACAAAAATCATACAAACATGTCCCTTCTCAATTCCCTTTTAAATGCTGATATGCTTCCAACATTCTTCAAACACTGTGGCAAATTATTATGTACTACTACTAATCCTTTGAAAAATATTGAATTTTGAGATGAGACTTTCCTCACATCAGCCAGTACATAGTTTTTTCCTCGGTTTTTTCTACCACTTGTAAAATAATTATGTACTTTTTCAAAAGTATGAACAATACCTCAGACATACTAAGGCACTTTTTCTAATTTTACTTTGCGTATAAAAACAAGAGCATTAAATTCTAAAAACCTTGGCACACTTAGCCAATTTAATGTTTCCAACATATCACCTATCCTTGGGTACCTATTTAATCCTAAGATTACTAGCATTGCTTTATTTTGCAATTTTTACAGTCTACTTATACATCCCTGACTAGTTATATACAAAACCGTACTGCAATATGTGAAATGAGGCAATATTAATAGGTCTGTTTCTGCAGAACTCACAAACCAGTTAGAGTGAATTTCATTAGTTGAAATTAGTTTTCTGACTGTTTTCAACCAATGAAATTCGCCCTGACTGGTTTGTGATTTCTGCAGAGACAGACCTATTGTATTGTATACCAATTTTATACTCCTAACTAGTCAACAGGGTGAGTTTTCCTGAGATATTTAATAATGCCAAATCGTTCACAAACTCCACTCCATGGGTGACATCCTGTATTTTTAAACGATGATAGTTCCCATCAGGTCCCAGTATCCGCGCCACTTGCTCTCTACCCTTCAGATACGACTCAAACCACTTCAGAGGCATTCAGACCTATCCCTCTAAAAACCATATTTTTCTAGCCCAACAAACGTGAATCTATATATCTATCTTTGTCTAGCAAATGTGGATTTATCGAATCGAAACTCGTAACATCTGTTGTGTTTGTATCCCATTGTTGGGTAAGCGTTCAGATTACGTCGATCTATGTTGTGTCATTGTCTTTTATTAAGAATTCGACTCTGAATTAGACAAAGAAAAATCTATCGGCTTTACCCAATAAGACGGCGTTTTGAGTCGTGATTTTTTATTCAAATTTACTATATTTATTTCAAGATTATTTCTATTAAAACCTAAATCAACTGGATCCTATAGATGTCAATACATTTCCTAAGTATTTACCTATGCATTTACTTATATACCTAATCAATCAGTAATCATTTAAAATTGTTACTAAATTTTTCTCTATATAAATAAATTATGTTGCCAAGTTGAGTAGCAACTATGTCAAGTCGATTTATTTTGGTGTAGGTATTATACTAACAGAATACAAAAACCGCAGTTAAATATAAACATAATTATTTTCAGTATAACAACCATCCTCATCAAGCCAGGGAAACCATGTGTTATTGCAATACTTAGGGTTTGAACTGAGGTCTATTTTAATTCTCCTTGAAGGCACGATTTGTTTGAAATAATGATTGAGCTTGATTTTTAATAAATTTGCTATAACGGGTCGCTCATTTATTAAATTTGTTGTCTCGCAGGGATCGTTCAGGATATCAAAAAGACATTCACCTATAAGAAGACAAGAGAAATTAAAAATCCTAAAAAATAGAAGTGAGTTTTTGCATACCTAAACAGGGCAAGTCTCGAGTCCGTATTTTACCCTTGCACGAGCTTATATCAAGTTTTCCTCTCAAGTGCATAATATTGTTTTGAGTGAGTAAAATACTGTTTGAGAGAGACTGAATAGCTTTATTCGTTTCACTTTGTAAAACTGCTTCTATATTGTACTCTGGAGTATTAACGGATCGTCCAGGGTCACCCACCGCAGAATCATATATTCCATTTTTGAAAGAGCCTATGTATTGATAATAATAATAATAACAATATATTTTTCAATAAAACGAGTCATACCGTTTAAATATTTAAAACCATTCGCGCTGATTAGTCCTGAAAACCCATTTATCTCATCAATGTTCAATAGCAAGTTGCTTCTGCGAGATGGCAAATTTTTAGAAATACTTTTCCATTGATTTATTCCATCAGTAGAAGAGCTACATTTGTCCAATTCAACGCCTGCAAAAATCAAATGCAAGCCATTTTATGTTATATGTAATAATGAAATACACCATTGAAAACTGAAAAAGATTAAATGCCTTACCGGCAACATTAAGGAAAGTCGTATAAAAATCGGTTATATGCATAAGGTGATTATTTATATATCCTTTTTTCTCTAAAAGCGGGCTAAATAGAACAGCCGATCCTCTTACTCCGCCTTCTAAAAGGGTAAATTTTAGCTGAAACAAGAACAGTTGTTGAAATAAAATTATGGTTAAATTATACCTACAACAGATATAAATGTTGATTATTATTTACCCCTTTGAGTGGATAATTTGATCCATAATTTTGATACATCCCATACGTTTGTGCTCCATTATCGGATAAAAATAAAATTATGGAATTTTCTAACATATCTTTTTCTTTTAGTTTTTTGACTACTTTTCCTATTGATTCATCCAACCTGTTAACAATATCTAAAATACTATTTCTATTATTCTGATAATAGATAAATATATTATTTATCACAAAACCTGCATATAGACGCCTTTCTGGTTTTTCAATATAACCATATTTTTCTTCAGCCTCTGTGATATTGGGCACACCAAGTTCAGTGCCATTAGTACCAGTATGGCCGGCCAAATGTCCCAAATAAAGAAATAATGGTTCGCTGGCATTATGATTGTCGATAACTTGTAAAGATTTTTCTGTAAATAAATCAGTGGCGTATCTGCCTTGATATTCCCATTTGGGTGCGAAACGATCGTGGAGATCCAGTCCTGACCACGTCACCTGAAATATAATAACTTAATCAGCATTTAAGAGCAATACATAATACATATTATGCTGTGTGCTATCAATTTGGATGGTTTCCATTTTGCATTTGGACATTTTTAGATGTAAATTTATTGATGATATCGCTTGTATCCAGTCAAATGTTACTTGCATTTAGATTCCAATCGGCCATCATATCCTGATAATTGAAATAATCAAAATATCCAACGAATCCGTACCAATAACCAAAATGAGTATCGAAACCTCTTGCAGTGGGCGTATCGTTTTTTCTAGCGGCGCCCAAGTGCCATTTACCCACCAGATGGGTTTTGTATCCCACTTTTTTGAGTTTTTCAGGAAGTAGTTCGATGTCGTGTGGCAATGGTCTGTCTTCTCCAGCACTTATTGGAATATCCTGATAACCTGAAACAAGAAGCCACCATTATTTTAATTTGTTTAATTTTAATCACCATTCTCAATGTTTAAGAAAAAAAAAAACTATTCAATCTACATATTTGGATGGATGTCAAAATTCTTAGTTGTATGTATTTACCGACCTGGGTGAGGATATAAATGCAGAACGCAAAACCCAGAGCTTAAGAATTTAATTGATACTGCTTGTGCTGAAGATGATATGCCTGTTTTTGTTTTTGGAGATTTCAATTACTCCAAAATTAACTGAAATAATCTTAGTTTTTCCATTTATGATGAATTGAGTGGATCACTATAAGAAAATGACCACTTATCAAATGATATCCTTGCCAACTCGTAACATTTTATACATACAGAGTGTACAAAAAGTAACGGGACGGTCAATTATCTCTGAAATCAGTGTTGCATTTTGAACAAAATCTCATAATTAAAGTTTACTTGAAAAGCCGAATTCAAAAATTGTATCCACGTTGTTGCCAGACTGCCCAGACTTACCAATTTGTCTGTAGGCACACAATTTTTCTTAATTGAAATGTAATATTTCATTTATTTTTATCTCAATCGACTGTTTTGTTTGATTTAGTGAAAACGAAATGATAGGTGAATGGAACATAATGCTCATTGCTCATTCATAAATTGAGTTATTAATTACAGTATCAGGAGTCATTTAAGTACAGAAGTGAAACACACAAGCATACTAGGAGAGGGGTTGAGGAATTGGTTTAATGGTATAATTAAATTCTATTTTACGAAATTTTTCACAAAATACTCCGCTGTATATAACGTGGCCGCTGGGCTAACTATGGGGAGTCCAGTCTAGTCAGTGGCGTCATTTCGATTTTAGGCACGCAAACACACAATGTTTGTTTCAGGAGGGTTTGTACTTTTGACATCATCTGCCTTCCTTTTTTATTAATTAATTAATGACATCATAGACATTCATTGGTTCTTAAAACCAGAAGTCATTGTTCTGGTTTAGTGTACCTCTTCTTAGAGTGTACTGTATTATTGATCGAGAGTCAAAGGACTCACAGACAAAAGTATACAAAATTATTTTATCCAACATTTGCTATTATAGTTATAAAAGTCATTATTTGTGCCAATTTAGACAGTTAAACTATCAAATAACACACTAGTGTGTTATAAACCATAACCCACTAGTGAGTTATGGTTTATAACTCACTCTCCCATAACGTCAACGCAAAACAACAGGGAATAAAAATAAAATAAATCCTGCTCCAAAGAAGACCCCAAAAAATACCCCTTAGTTTTTTCAGTTCTTGTATGATGCTCGTGTGTTATAATTTCTTAGTTGTTGGATAAAACATTGTATGCTACTCGTGTGTTATGTTTTCTAAGTCACTCGCAAACTTCATTCTTCGTGAGTAATAGCTATCATTACTCGCTCGTTGAATAATATACTATTAACTATTAAAAGAAAATTGCTGACATTAAACCTAAACTGATTATTACAGAATCAAACAGGTACCTTTTGTCAGGTCACAAAATATAAAAGTGAGCAACCAACGTGAACATCAACTCAACATTTCAGTCATTAAAATCAATAAAAATTCTTCATCCTTGTCTCCTTCTGTGACCGTCGCTCGCCCCTTCCTCGTCGTTCCTTTCCAGGCGTCGCATACTTTAATGAACTTTTAGTCGCTTCAGTTGTACGCGCGATTGTCACTATTCCCGTATTTTAGTTTTCAAGTCATTCAATAAATATGTATCAAAAAAATTAATTGTGTCAAAACACGCTTAAATAAAAATATATGAATTATTAATCTATGACCAAAGTTTACTCTACGAAAAACCTTTTTTTCCAAATTATGACATTGTGGATGTCAAAATTGCAAGCCCTCGTGAAACAAACTTGACAAATACATTCTATACATTTAATTAGGACTACTATACAATGTAGGTACATGCTTGAGCTTCCTGTAACGAGCGTGCATGTTCACGGCTCAAGCAATCTCCACTACAACTACAACTCGACTACGTGGCATTAGAGGGAATGCCTAGCGTTGCATGATTTCGTTACATAGCAACTCATAAGTTGCACTTGAAAAAATAGAGAATACTAAAAAAAAGAATTGTGGTGTGACAAATAGAGGATAAAATCAAATGAAGAAAAGTGTACAGCCTTGAGTGTGGGTTCTTATTGTGTGGAATAGCCTATAATAATGCAAAAATAATGCAGATTTAAGTCATGTGCAAGAACAGGAGGACCTTGGAGATCTGATAAAAAAATAATATGTAATTGGAAAGTCACATAAGCAAGTTTACCAAGAACACAAACTATTTTATTTTCTGCATTAAACGAGCATTTGTGGATCGTTCAACAGATTTTGGCCAGTATGATTAAAAAGAGTATTTGCTTGTACTTCAAGTAAGAGCTTTTACTTTCTAGTAATTTGTGCAGTATAATCTTCTACATGAAGTAAATTCTTTTATGGGAAGTATTTACTAAGGTTAGAAGTAGAGATGTGAGTGTGAAAAGTTTCACCTGAAAAGTTTCAATAAAATTTCATTTCATTGAAAAGTTTCAAGACAGTTCAAAACTTTTCAAAATTTCGTGAAAAGTTTAAAGATCATGAATCATGCATTGTGACTTTGTCCCAGGTTTGTCAAAACGAAAACGCATGTCATGGTCGTGGGCAAAAAAATAATTAACAATTGACGAAAACAGCATTTTTTGCAACAAGAAAACAGTTGTTTTCAAGTTGCAAAAAATGATTTTTGACAAGTAAAACACTATACTTTTTCCAAGACCATGTTTTGATTTTTGCTGTTAAACTTATGTTTTTTTTACAAGGGTTCCTACTTGGTTTGATAGCTGGCACCATCTATGAAAAGTGCTCGTTTTTAATTAATTTTATACTTATATTTTGCTTTTATTACATTATATAAAGCAAAATTGTAATATACTATAAATGAAACACAGTCATTTGATTGATGGTCTATTTATTACTGAAAATATTCAATTCTCCGTACCCAAAGGAATGGTACTCTAGTCACAAAAAACCCATTGTTAATCTAACCATACACTAATAGTGAGCTAGCGCATACACGACTATTTAGAGACGTTATGCACATATATCACAAAAATGTACATAATTTTGTTATGAACTATGTCTTTTCATTGAATTGAATTGAAATATAATTGGATTTGAAAAAATGTATTTAACATGTAAAATTTTAATCATTCACTTGCGTCACTAGTGAGGAAAGTTAACGTTATGGGATATTTCATCACTAGTGACGAAAATGACGTTTTCGGCCAAGGTAGAATATGACAAAAGTTGTTTATTTTTTGATGGTCATAGAAAAACAGATTTTTTCACTATTACGCAATTTTTTTTATTTCCTCAATCCTCAACCGCAATATTGTGATTTAATGGAAAGGAATAATTGATAAAAATTATATTATTCATCAATTCAATTTATTGAATACCTATCATTTCGAAAAAATAATTTTAGAGGCCCTATTCTTCCTGTACTTAACTTTTCAAAAAAAAATTGAAAAGTTTCAACTTTTCATGAAAAGTTTCACGAAAAGTTTCAAATTTGAAAATTTCATGAAAAATTACATGTCTAGTTAGAAGTAGGTATAAACTTGTAGTAAATACTAGGACGTTTTTAACCTCAAATAGGTTCTTTTTGTTTCTTATGTGGGTACAATCTATCTATCGCTCCTACTTCCCCAAGTATCGTCCATCCATCTAATTCAACGTCGCGGGCATATTGAGAAAAAAAATCTAAACATTTTTATTCCACACAATTTCTTGTGGAAACTTCTTCAATTACTTTTGACATGGTTGTTTAATGTAGGTACCCCAACATCTACATCAACTCCTTGTTGAAATCCAGGATCACTCAGGGCCGGTATTATAATGTCCGGTTGACCGATGGTTGAATTTCAACCGAGGTTTCAACCTTCGGTTAACTGGACATTATAATACCGACCCTTAGGGCCGGTTTATTAATCAAAGGATAACTCGCAGAGTTTGCTGACTCTGAGTCAACACTAACTCTGGGCTAACTAACTTACCTAGTTAAGTCGAAAAGTGTTTATCTAAGCTTTTTTAACCCAGGGCTGGTCAGTGGCGCACCCAGGTTTTTTATTTGGGGGGGGGGGGTTTCATAATGATGAAGGCTCGCCGCAGGCAGGCGCTGCCGTAGGCTGGCCGCCATAGGAAGAATTGTTTTTCGGGTGTCACGCCCAAAAACGTTTATTTTAAGCCTTCAAAAAATAACTTATTGTACCACATGCAGATGGATCAAATCCATGCTAAAACACAGGACTATAAACTCGACTATTGCTGAAACCTCTATTAAACTAACCGCGACAAAAGGATGCCCACAGCCCACAGGGCGGAGTACTTTCCTCACTCTTGTGGAATCTAGTCGTGGATAAACTTTTGAGGAAACTAAACGATCAATGCTACATCACCTTCGGCTACGCGGATGACATAGTCGTTGTCATTAGGGGAGGATTTACCAGGACGGTATCAAACCTCATGCGGGACGCCTTAGGAATCATTGAGGAATGGTGCACGAGTGAGCAACTTCGCGTCAACCTCTCCAACACAAAACTCATTCCTTCCACGAGAAAAAGAAATCTGGAGAACTTATTCGCTCCCAGTCTATTCCAAAAAACCTTGGACTTTAGAGAAGCTAAATTTTAAGACGTCATCCTAAATATGAAGCTGACATGGCACCAACACATCCAAAAGATAACCACCAAAAGCAACATGATGTTGGTGTCACTGAAAAGAGCGGTTGGGAAAACTGGGGACTAAAACCGTCAGTTTTACAATGGATATACACTACGGTTGTAAGACCAATGATAACATATGGTGCACTTGTATGGTGGCCTAAAGTAAACCAAAGACAAGCAAACCTGCAGCTAGCCAAAATCCAGAGACTTGCGTGTCTTTGTATTACCGGTGCACAGAGAAGCACACTAACGGCAAGCATGTCAACCTCTGGGAGAATACACTACTGTATTCCATGCAGAAATATATGCCATCGACTCCTGTCTGAGAGAAAACCTGAGGAGGGGATACACAGGTAAAAACATCCTTATCTGCTTAGACGGTCAAGCGTCGATCAATGCACTCAACAGCTTTGAAATAAAATCCAAACTTGTCTGGGAATTCTTGGAAAACCCCAAAAACCTAAGTATGGCCAACAAGGTAACCCTTAACTGGGTGCCAGGGCATAAAGGAATTGAAGGAAATGAAAAAGCAGATACTCTAGCAAGAGAAGGATCGAAAACCAGTTATACTGGTCCTGAATCAGCAATTGGCACCACAAAATCATCGGTAAAAACATAAATAAACCAATGGGTGTATAGACAACACAAAACCTACTGGCAAACTCTTCCGACGCTCAGACACAGTAAGCTAATGGTATACAACAGCCATCACCTAAACTTACTGAAGAAATCCTACAAACCAAACAGAAATCACATGAGGCTAATAACTGGACACTGTAGCCTGAGAAAACACCTTCACACAATGGGCATCCTCCAAGAACCCATAAGCAGACTTTATGAGTTGTGACGAGGAAGATAAAACCGCCACCAACATAATCTTTGATTGTTTGAATGTGAGGCTTTACGCTGGTGGAGATATAGACAGATAGCGCCAGAAGACCCTATCTCTAAACTCACCAAAAGTAACACGGTGAAGAGGCTCCTAAACGTCAACTTTTTACTGACTAAACAGACGAACAGGACAATACAATAAGTCGACGGCTGCAGTGTTGGGGCCACCTAACCTGGCCTGTTCATTCTGCATCTCAATCAACCAACCAACCAAGTGATTGTATAAGTTATGTGTTTACTTCGCTGTTTACTCACCTAAATAAACTCGCTGTCGGAGGCAAAACCTTTTAGGGGTGCCATATATGTAAAATGGAAAGTTTGTAGGTACCTATTAACCAAAATCGCAAAAATCGGAAAATTCTTCGTACCAGTGCTAAATTTCGGGGGGGGGGGGGTGTAACCCCCAAAACCCCCCCCTTGGGTGCGCCACTGGGGCTGGTAAACTCTCAGGTAGGTACTTCGAAGGTTACTTATGTAACGTTGTCAGCTCAATTTCACTGCACTGAGTGCGGGAAGAAGTCTCTTCCCGCACAGCAAATCGTGCGGGAAGAGCCATTTCCCGCACGCTCGTAGAAAAAATCAGTTTTCAGCTCTGTAAAATGACTTCTGTCAAAAATTTGGCACAATGAATATGATAGCAAGTCCGTTCCTGACTTCCCAGACTATGTGAAACATCTACTGAAGTATGTTTTAATGAGTCTTTCTGGCCAACATAAAATATTAAAACTTCATTGAACTATACAAGTCAGTTCAAAAGTTAGAGCCAAAAATGTGAATCCCCAAGTACTCTTTTGGGGCTCTGTTTCTCCGTTAAGGGGCACTTTAGGAATTTTTTTTATAACAGAGTAGGGTTATTTTGCCCCCTCCTATACGCTTCCGAGAGTATGCCATATACTTACTGGACACCTTGTATATAGGTACATATATGTAGAAGGTGTTCCAAAGCTATCATGTCAAAAATTAAAGGATGATAAATCTCGCCAAAATAAACTTTTTTTACTTATAAACCCATGGGCGCATGAGCTTTGGCTAGGTGATAATAGAACATTACAATTCGCGCTGTGGTATAGCCACCTTGCACATGGAGAAACGTGTTTGAAGCAGAAACTGTGTTATTAAATAATACAAAACCCAAGGAAGGCTTGAAGTATTTATCAAAAACAATTATTTACATCAAAAAATGCTCAAAATTACGACCACCCGCATGCGTGACAGCGCCTTAGCAGAAATATCGAGTAGATTTCTGCAGAAAACCCTTCCCGAACGGTTAAAAATTGATCACCTGTATACCAGAGAAAACATGTGGTACCAACACGACGGAGCTTCACCACACTCGAAAGAAAGAAAGAGTGATTGGTAAGGGCGAACCTATTGCATGGCCTCCTCGCAAGCGCCTATGGGTTTATAACGCCCTTATTTCAACTCTTAAGTCACTTGCAACACTCAAGCCTTTGGTATTTCGCAGCCAGGTTTTTATTAATTAAACAATTAGTGAACATGGCTTGCGTGGAAATATAGGCAACAGACATGTTTTATTTCGGTCAAGGAAAATCGAATTTTCCATGTGTTATCATCCCTAGGGGCGACTCGTAAATATCACTTCATTCTACTCAACATCGAAGTACTTTTCAACCTTTTTGGAGGCTGGTATGCGAAAATGGAACACCTAAATCTGTCACTATCTGACGGAAAGTTTACAGGTTTCAGAACTCCATTAACTTCTTCCCATTCAAAGCTACAGGGATCTTTCTCTACGTAGGTAGGATTTAAAACATTTAAACAATTCCTGATTACATAAAACGCCCTTTTAATGTGATCTTGATTGGAATAAGATGTCGGCGGAAGGTCAGTAAGGAATTCACTGTACCGCAGATCGTCAAATGTTCAACATTAATTTGGAGAGGAGTTCTTTTTTCCAGACACTCACAAGATAGTTTTCAGCTTTTCCAAAATCGTTTTCTTCTTCAGTTTCAGCAAATTCTTTCGTCGGGAATTTTACTGAATCAGCAGGGAGAGCTCCAAGTTTTATTCCGATTTTGCTTACGGTGCCATGACCAGTAAAAAATGTGAGCCTTGATGAAAACATTGGGCAATCTTGGAGGCAGTTTCCGATGAAGAAGGAACATGAAATGGGATAAAGCGTTTTTTTCTCCTGTTACATAATGATTTAAAAACAAATCTAAGTAGGAACACAACAACATCTGTGTCATTTGACAGAACCTGGACTCGACGTGAATCATCCCAGTCCAACCTAGTCAAGGTATGGCACAATATGAAGGTCAGCTTCCTTCAATGCCTTTCAAATATTTTTCTGCTGGAACCTCTTGCAAAAAGTTTGTCGAGCTCTAATTTCTAGCTTTGTCTTATTTATCAAAGACCCGAATTTGTCTAATTGAACAGGTACAGGAATAGAACTGGTTATGCATGCGAGGTCAATCTTTCACATGTAGACATTTGTCTGGTTTTCTCAGATTCCTTTATAGATAATTCGCGAGATCTACCAAAATCGATATGAAGCTCCTGTAATGAATAAACTGCTTGCGATGTTTGCAGTACTGTACGGTCTGTACGGATCGCTCAGCATTAACATATTGCATTTTTATGTTGCAAATGGTTTCTCTATACACCTAAAATACAAATTCAAAATTCTTTTCTCTAAACAACATTTTTCTCACGGGAGTATCCTGTGGGGCCTGGATCAAAGAAGTGAAAAGCTATTCTGAAGCCTTTGAAATGGGTTGATATCAGATTTCCTGATTTCCTACATTTAAGTTATATTGGTTTGCATGTGAAAAGCGGTATTTCGACGGCAATTCTTCGGCTTTTATCTTGGTGAGGGAGAGGGAAGTACCCGGGAAGTTGGAAGATACCTGTGCTTAGAGGTTTTTTAGTGCTTTTCAATTTCGCGCCGCCATTTTCACATCAGTGTTCTCCTAGGCTTTTAGTATGATTATCAAGAATCTGGACCATAAATCCTATCGATTGAGACTAGTCGCAACTTTATGTTAACTGTCTTGGGGTAGTTGTGGAAGTACATATTTGATTGAAAAATGATTGAGAGACTGCCTCATACACAGATCTATTAGGACTATGTATAATAATTCCAATGTATTCCAATATACAATAATTAATGGACTTTAGAGGCCCGGTGAATGTTCCTTTTCTTTCCAGTATGCAATAGCGATTCCCCAACACAAAATTCAATTTTTTTTTTTTTAAATTCTGTACTTCGCTGCTCATGCTTACAATTTATCCAAGATTAACAGCTTTGCTGGCAGGTCTGGCTATTTTTAATGTTATCTTGACGGCTATTAAAATACGCCGGCAATTTCCACCTTTTGTATACATATTTGTATTATTTTCGCATACACACCTACTATTTTATTTGAACATTCAACAAGTTTACTCAACCTACAATTATTTCAAACCAACCAATTTCTATAGTACCTACTGTAAACTTAATATGTAGATCTATTATCTCACTAGGGCATCGTTAGTTTTTGTACGTCTGTATTTACCTTGGTGTTACATTAAATTTGCAAATTAGATTAATTTTTAGTCACAAGCTTCTGAAGAATTTTTATTTTAGGCGTTTGATTTAGTTGCTAGGATTGTACATTACGCTAAAGCCTATAGTGATGAGTAATTAGATCCTTACCGTATCGCATCGGATATTGGCCGGTTAAAAATGCTGCTCTGGAAGGACTGCATGTAGGTTGAGTGTAAAAATTATTCAGGAAAACTCCGTTGTATCCTAGAGCGTCTATGTTGGGTGTTGGTATCTGATTGGAGCCGTGGAAACCAAAATCGTTCCAACCCTAAATATATTTTTTATCAGATTTTTGAAGGTATGGGTATTGCCAAAGCATTATCGATTCAAAGTAAAGAATTCTTTTAGGTTTATCAATTATTAATATTTGCAATTTAAATAGTTTCAGCTTACAAATTCGCACTATTATTTTTTATTTGCGACTATGCTACTAGAATATGCTAATGGCAAATATTTAAATTATATAATTATCATAATTTGATATTTGAAAGCCACTATGTTATAAAAATCGTTGACAGGTACTTACTATATCATCTCCAATAATTACTACTATATGGGGCTGTTTGGTTGGTTTTGAACCCAAGATTCCGAGACTACCACATAATACCAATAGAAATACATAATAGTTATGCATTATTCACTCGCTAGTACTCGAATTACTGGGTAACTTCCATAAATTTCACACTAACCGATTTTAGTGGATGTTTTCCTCATTCACCTACACTACCTAACGAAAAAAAGCCGAAATAAAGTTAGTTGAAGGTAACGTGCTGTAAAATTTGTGTTTTTACGATGTTTTGTTTAATCCCAAATTATTATCCCTGACCTTTATCTTAAAGGCTAGAGAGAAATGATGAAAAATATATCTGATAAAAGTTTATGGATAATACAGGAATTTATAGTCCAGGAGGTAACGCGTTGCATTTTGTGAACTAATTTAGGATCGGTTAACTTGAACACTTACAGGGTGCAATTTTTAACTGGAATAAATTCAGTGCCTAATACGGTACCTAAACCAAAAAAGATATTGAAGTTAAATCAGATATTATAGTAGCGATATGAGAGTAAGAGAAATTGACAAAAATCTCTACGGGTGGACCAAAACTAACAGAAAATGGAAATCAGAAAATAAGGAAGAACTTTGTAAGCTGATCAGTGATCAGTATAGTATAATGTCATTATGTTACGTTGCAATACTTTTGTTGGTTAGTGTATACATGATCCAATCTTTCGTATATTTACAAAAATGCCGGTTAGTTAATAAACTTTCTCTCTGTGTTAATGTGCTTCAATATATTAGAAGATAACAAAGACATTTACATATTTTAATTTTTTCTTATCACAGCTTATATTTTTAAAACATGAAGTAAATTGATAGAACGGACTTGACATTTTTTTACAATAATAGCTGTTCGAGCTAAGCGTTGCGATAGTGTATGAATTATTGTAAAACAATTTTTTAAAAATGCACTTTTTTCAAGGATGTTATATCTACAAACAACAGCTTAAAACTGAACACTGTAAATCGAACTGCCAGATCATCTAGAGTTGCCTTGAAATCAATTTTAGTTTCAGTGGGCAAGGGATATTATGGTAATTTGAAATATGTACGTTAATTTCACACTTACATCGATTTTATTCCCCAATTAGTTCTTGTACTTGCAGATTGTGGAGTTGGGGTGTTTAGGTTATGAACCTCTCCGCACTGCTACCTGATTGATTAGATCGGTCAGTAACTTTTTTAAGATGTTGGTTCCGAGTGAGTTTCTGATCCAGGGTGACTCCCAGATATTTAACCTCACTTGCGAAGTTGATTTGTATCTATCCCATTTAAGGTAGATTTAGCCTTCTGTTCCGTGTAAAAAGTAGAATTATGGCTTTGTTGGAGACTTAAGCGTCATCTCCTTCCTGCAGACATCTGATAATGACATTTAGGGCATTTTGCATGACGTCACTTATGTTTCCCTAGTTAAGGTTTTTTATTGGAAAAATTCAAAATTTCAATATGATGAGCTCTCAATTTTCCCCTTTCCACCATAAAAGTTTCCAAACTTTCCCTTTAATAGTTTTTCAGAAAAACTCTAGAATGTACGAGGGTGCATTTTGTATAATTTAGTTTTTTAAAGTTGATTTTTAAGAGTTTCCCTAGTTGAGGTTTTTTATTGGAATTCAAAATTTCAATATGATAAGCTCCCAATTTTTCCCTTTTTACCATAAAAGCTTCAAAATTTTTCCTGTAATAGTTTTTCAGAAAAACTTAAGAATGTACGAGGGTGCATTTTGTTCAATTTAGTTTATAAAAGTTGATTTTCAAATTTCCCTTCTTAGTTCTTGAGGTTTTAAGGAGAAATGAGGCTAGGAAAATTGGTCTGAATGATTTAGGCTGTATTGTAATCTGTAGGACGCCTACCAGCATTTGGAATGACAACCACATTCACATCTCGCCAACTAGTGGGTAAGTGCCACAGCCCAATTTGTAGCTAGCTTTGAACATGTTTGCTAGATGTGGGGCCTATTCTCCCAGAGCCTGTTGTAGGATGGCGCAAAAGATCCGATCTTCACCTGGTGATTTGTAGGGCTTGAAGCTATCTATTTATAGCCCATTTAATCTTATTTTCGGTGAATATCCTTCCGGCTAGGCTTTTAGTGCGGTTGGTCACCGCGGAACGCCTTTTACCACCGTAGCCGTTTTTCCATCAGGTTGCCACTCGATAGAAGTGTGTTTGCAGAAGCAATTTTACACTATCTAGTCTATTTTCGATGTAACTGCCATTAGATCTTTGACGGAGTCCGATACCGTTTGAGTAATCTTTTGATAGGATTCTCTAGAGGCGCATCATCTGAGGGACGTCGGTCATCTCCTCGCAGAATCTCCTCCAGGATTCTCTCTTAGATCTTCTCAGTTCTTTGTTGTATTCTGTTAGGGCTCTGTCGTATTCGCTCTTGTCGTTGGTGCGTTTAGCCCTACCCTGTTGAATAATTTTGTTGTCTCAGTCCTTAAGAAGCTAAATATCTTGTTCCACTAGGCGTTTTCCTCTCCACTACTCGTTGCTTCACAGGACAACTGTTCTTATACATTATGTTATGTTAGAATAGAATTCTAGATCGCCTTCCGTCTTGATAACGTTTGGAAGATCGGTGCTTTCCGTTCTTGATAGGTCTTTGTACAGACCTCAGGCGATAAGTTTTGGGTTTCTATAGTTAAGAAGGCATTCTTCTGTGACCTCTATATCAAACCAACCTGATGTGTTTATGGTCCGACATCGAGGTTCATCAAAAACATGCCAGCCCTCTATTCGGTTGCCTATAGTTGTGCTGGCGAGAGTTAAATAAATTCAACACCTCTTACTAATGGTATTGATCTAAGCAACAATTTTCCAGTGAATAACTAGAATTTCTAGTAGTAATATAACTAGTGCTTAAAAAATTTCCCTTAGGAAATATTTTATGCACGTGTTATATTTTGATAGGAAATTTCCCTTGTGCATATTTAACTGGAAATTTACCTCGTAATTTTCAAAAATTGACAAGTGGAAATATCCCTGGTGAGCGGGATATTTCCGGGTGCAATTTCCAATGCGACAATGCCGCGCGGCGTCCGTCGGAAACCCACCTTTAGGTTGTCATTTTTGGCATTGAGACCATATAAATTACATGGACGATACCAAAGAATATTATAGTTAACACTTATAGAAAACCTATTCCATGTATATTTTTTGACCCCTGAATGGAGCCAGACTTTTCGAGCCGGGCTCCATCGGAGAGGTAGGCTCGCCATAATCAACGAGGCTCCAGTTGATGGCTAGTCGGCGTTGCCATATGTCCATATAAATATGTGTAATAACTTTAAAACGGTGACCGCGCTGATGTGAAAAAGCACGATATGCGGGAAAAAAATGAAAGATTTTGTTTTGAAAATATGTATCGCTGAAAAATTGCTAGACGATAATCGCAGTTCGAACTCGAGTTTCTTACAGAAATATCATAGTTTTTAAATTTTTTTCTGGAAAACTGGCCAAGTAAAAATTGTGCAATTTTTCCAGGAAAAAGACTAAAGTGAGGAGCTTATTATGGGAAAATTTCAAAATTTTCCAATGGAAAATCATTCCAGGAAAAATTCTGGAAAATAGATTTTTTTAAGCAAAATTAATTTTCTTACATTTTATTTTTTTCCTAGAAAACTGGCAAAAGGAAAATTGTGAAATTTTTTCAGAAAAAAGAGGAAAGTGAGGATTTCATTATAGCAAAATTTCAAAATTTTCCAGTGAAAAATCACTCCAGGAAAAATTTAGGAAAACTGACTTTTTTGAGCAAAATTCATTCTTTTACATTACAATTATTTTCTGGAAAATTGGCAGAGTAAAAATTGTGATACTTTTCCAGGAGAAAGACGAAAATGAGGAGCTTATTATAGGAAAATTTCAAAATTTTCTAGTGGAAAATCATTCCAGGAAAAATTCTGAAAAATTGACTTTCTTAAGTAAAATTCATTTTCATTCTTTTTAGTTTTTTCCTAGGAAACTGACAAAAGGAAAATTGTGAAAATTTTTAAGAAAAAAGAGGAAAGCGAGGAGTTCATTATAGCGAATTTTTGAAATTTTCTAGTGAAAAATCGATCGAGGAAAAATTCTTGAAAATTGACTTATTTAAGCAAAATTAAGGAAAATTTACCTTCTTAATTTTATTTTTTTTTCTGGAAAACTGGCAAAGGGAAAATTTTGAAAATTTTTCAGGAAAAAGAGAAAAGTGAGGAGCTTATTAGAGGGAACTTTCAAAATTTTCCAGTGAAAAATCATTCCAGGAAAAATTCAAAGACAATTGACTCATTAATTGTAATTGGGCTTCTGGCCTGTTGGAAATAAAGACTTATTATTATTATTATTATTATTATTATTATTAAGGCAAAATTGAGGAAAATTCACCTTCTTACATTTTAATTTGTTTCTGGAAAACTGGCAACGGAAAAATTGTGCAATTTTTCCAGGAGAAAGACGAAAGTGAGGATTTCAAAATTTTCCAATGGAAAATCATTCCAGGAAAAATTCTGGAAAATAGATTTTTTTAGGCAAAATTCATTTTCTTGGATTTTATTTTTTTTTAGAAAACTGGCAAAAGGAAAATTGTGAAATTTTTTCAGAAAAAAAAGGAAAGTGAGGATTTCATTATAGCAAAATTTCAAAATTTTCCAGTGAAAATTCACTCCAGGAAAAATTCAGGAAAACTGACTTTTTTAAGCAAAATTCATTTTTACATTACAATTCTTTTCTGGAAAATTGGCAGAGTGAAAATTGTGATATTTTTCCAGGAGAAAAACGAAAATGAGGAGCTTATATAGGCAAATTTCAAAATTTTCCAGTGGAAAATCATTCCAGGAAAAATTCAAAGACAATTGACTATCTTAAGTAAAATTAATTTTCATTCTTTTTATTTTTTTTCTAGAAAACTGGCAAAAGAAAAATCGTGAAAATTTTCCAGAAAAAAGAGGAAAGCGAGGAATTCATTATAGCAAATTTTTCAAATTTTCTAGTGAAAAATCACTCGAGAAATAATTCTGGAAAATTGACTTATTTAAGCAAAATTAAGGAAAATTTACTTTCTTACATTTTAATTTTTTTCTGGAAAACTGGCAAAGGGAAAATTTTGAAAATTTTCCAGGAAAAAGAGAAAAGTGAGGAGCTTATTGGAGGGAACTTTCAAAATTTTCCAGTGAAAAATCATTCCAGGAAAAATTTAAAGACAATTGACTCATTAAGGCAAAATTGAGGAAAATTCACCCTCTTACATTTTAATTTGTTTCTGGAAAACTGGCAAAGGAAAAATTGTGCAATTTTTCCAGGAGAAAGACGAAAGTGAGGAGCCTATTATAGGATAATTTCAAAATTTTCCAATGGAAAATCATTCCAGGAAAAATTCTG